CGCCGCCGTAGAGGTGCAGCGTGTGCAGGCGCCGCAGCGGCCGCAGCGCCCCAGCGGGCAGCCCCGCGCCCCCCAGCGGGTTGTGCTGCAGCAGCAGGTAGCGCAGGCCCCGCGCGCCGCGCAGCCGGGCCGCCTCCACCCGGCGGATGCGGTTGCGGCCCAGGTGCAGGACGGCCAGCGTCCGGGGCAGGCCGGCGGGCACCGAGGCCAGCTGGTTGTGGGACAGGTCCAGGTACTCCAGGCTGTGCAGCTTGCTGGCGGGAGAGAGCGGGGCGTCGGCGGGGCGCTCGGAGGGGCGAGGGCCCGACGGGTCCGAGGGCGGCCGGCGGAGGACAGCGCTCGGCCGGGCGGGGGGGGGGAGTGAGAGATCGGTCTGGGAGGACCACTGGGGGGCTCATGAGGCAGGTGTGGTGAACACAGGTTAGTCATTAGGCAAGTTTTCTTCGACAGGTCTACTGGAAACAGGGTAAATACTCGGGCATCTTTTCTGTTTTTGAGTTGGGGGTCTCGCTCTGTTGTCCAGGCTGAGTGCAGTGGCACAGTCACCGCAGTCTCGAACTCTGGGACTCAGGTGATCCTACCACCTCAGCCTCCTGAGTAGCTGGAACTACAGTCATGCCCCACCACACCCAGCTAATTTTTTTAATTTTTATTTTCGTAGAGACTAGGTCTTGCTCTGTTGCCTAGGTTGGTGTGGAACTCCTGGGCTCAAGCGATCCTTCCACCTCGGCCTCCCAAGGTTCTGGGATTACAGACCCAAGCCACCACACCCAGCCCAGACATCGTCCTTATTGGTACATGACCACCAGGCATATCAGACTGGTGATAACCACCAGGCATATCAGACCTGACCACCTTGTGGGTTAAAATGTGAAATTGCCAGTGCAGTAGACCACAGAAACAATAGGAAATTACCCAAAACAGAGACATGATGTTCTAAAAAAAAAAAAAAATCGAATTAGGCAGTAACTTTCATTATTTAAAAAGTCCTTGTGACCGTAAAAGGTTGAAAATGGTCATCAAAACTCGTAAGCAGATACCTGCAGCCCTCTACTCTTAGCTTATGGAAGTTTGCTTAATCATTGTAAAATTGTATAAAGCTTCTTGTCAAAAGCAAGCAGTGCCCGGTTCTTTTTTTTTGAGTTGGCCTCTCACTCTGTCGCCCAGGCTGTGGTGCAGTGGCACACTCACAGCCCCCCAGCGTTGACCTGCTGGGCTTCCACAACCTTTCTGCCTCAGCCTTCCAAGTAGCCAGAATTACAGTCGTGCACTACCACGCCTGGCCAACATTTATTTATTTATTTCAGAGACAAGGTCTTGCCAGGTTGCCCGGGCTGGTCTCGAACCTGCAGGCTCAGGCTATCTACTAGCCTTGGCCCCCCAAAGTGCCGGGATTACAGGCTGAGCCTCCAAGCTCGACCAGTGCCTACATTTTAAGGCACCTACATTCTCTCTTAAATGTGTTTTTCTCTCTATAATAAACTTTTCTTTAGACTCACACGAAAATTCTTTCCTGCAGCACAGTCAAAAGCCCATAGAGGAATGACACCCCACACCACCCAACATCACTCAGAGCAGACCCCAGCCTGAGAGGTGTCTGTGAGGGTGACCAGGATAAAGTCCTGGGCCCGAGATGCATGTGGCAGCTGTGAGGTCAGATCACAAAAATCTCGGTGCCAGGCAGAAAGGGACAGACACCTGCCCCATGATCAGACGAAGCTGGTGTGCAGTCAGCACTCACCAAATAAGTCCTTGGATTAGGAGCCATACAGAAGAGGGGACTGAAAGTTGGGACCCCCCCCACATGATAATTACTCGGCCCCTGCTGCCCCTGTGAGGCTGCACCTGAAGGTAGTGGCGTCCAGGCCGCTGTCCGTCAGCCGGTTGTGCTGGAGGTAGAGTTCACGGAGGTGGGTCTGGCGGCTCAGGGCTCCTCGGGGCACCTTGGAGATGAGGTTGTGCTGGAGAAGGGAAAAGAGAGTAATACTGAAGTCTGGGATAGAGAGCAGCGGGGAGTCATAAAAGGCTCTTGAGTAAGGGCGTGACAGGCATCTGGCCTTGGGAAGGACCTATCAGGAGAAGTGATTCGAAGAAAGGCCACTCCGACTCCTGGGATCCTGGGGCTGTTGGGAGGATGGCAGGTGATGAGGCAGGGTCCCCCCAGGAGTGGTGAGGAGGTCTGGGTGCAGGCAGGATCTCAGGGCCAAGGCGGGGCTACCTGCAGGTGGAGGCGCTCGAGCGAGGGCGGAAGGCTGGGCGGCAGGTAGCTGAGCCGGTTGCTGGAGAGACTGAGGGTGGCAATGGCCTCGGAGCCGCGGAAGGCGTCGAGGGGCAGGCCGGCGTTGCTCAGCTGGTTGTTGTGGAGGTACACGGACCTGAGGGTAGCCAGACTCTGGCCATGGGCATGCTCCTGCCTCCCAGCGCCCCACCCCAGTCCCACATCCTGGCCCAGGGCACCTTCAGTGTGTGTGTGTGTGTGTGTGTGTGTGTGTGTGTGTGTGTGTGTGTGTGTGTGTTATGTGAGTGTGAGCACATGTGTAGGTGAATGTGCACAAACGTGTGTGTGCGTGTGAGTGTGTGTAAGTTCATGTGAGCATATAAGAGTGGGGGTGGGCCGGGCACGGTGGCTCACGCCAATAATCCCAGCACTTTGGGAGGCTGAGGCGAGAGGATTGTCTGATCCTAGCGGTTCGAGACCAGCCTGGGCAACTTGATGAGACCTCATCTCTACAATAAATAAAAAAATTAGCTGGGCGTGGTGGCACACGCCTGTAATTCAGCTACTTGGAAGGCTGAGGCGGAAGGATCGCCGGAGCCCAGCAGGTCGAGGCTGCGGTGGCCATGAGCATGCCACTGCACTCCAGTCCAGTCTGGGCGACAAAGTGAGACTCCAACTCAAAAAAAAGAAAGAGTGGGGGGGTGTGTGGGTGTGTGTGCATGTGAGTGTGTGCAAGTGTGTGGATGTGTGCGCGTGTGAGTGGAAGGGATTCAAAGGTAACTGACCGCTGGAATTCTAGGGGGGGTTGGAAGGTTGGAAAGAACATGTGTGCATGTATGCCTACAGATACCGTCTCCACCTCATTCTAGAGTTCTCCTGACACAGCAGAGTCCTGTCGCCCCTCCCGCTCCCCAGGGTAGGACCATGCCCTCACTCAGACCCACCGGGGCAGGGTCTTAGCCCCTTCTGACCCCCAGAATGGGGCCGGGGCCAGGGGCTACCTGAGCGCCGGCTTCTCCCCGAAGGTGAGGGGGAAGACCTCCATCACTTGGTTGGCCGCCAGATCCGCGACACGGAGGGAGCGGGGCAGGAACTGGGGAGCCACTGAGAGCTGTGGGGGCACAGCCAGCGGCCACACTGGTCCTGGTGTGCCCGGCCCGAGCTGCCCCCTCCTGCACCCTGTGCTGCACCCACTGGGCCCCTCCTTGGGGGTCTGGGGGGCTCACCTTGTTGTGGGCCACATAGATGTGCTGCAGCTGAGTGAGGGACTCGAAGGCCTCATCTGGCAGGCCTGGAGGCAGGGGCCGGGGAGGGGGCCC